AGCACACAGCATCGCAACCGTTCAGGGCAAAAAATGCGCTGGAGAGAAAAATAGGTGTATTTTTAACCATATTATAAAAAAAAAATGACTGAAATTAAGAAAAATCCGAGGTCTGTCTGAAAACGAAATGGGCGTGGCCAATGTTACCAAAACGCAAGTAGGCAAGGTTATTCTGATAATTCTTTCTTATGTAAACCGAAGCACTGAGAGTTTCTGGGTGGGTTCTTGTCTTAAACAGATTTTTTAGTTCAGGAGTTCGCTTCAAAAAAAATTTGGTGGGACTGCTTCCTGAAATCCTCATGCCTTACCCCTTTTCGACTCCCAAGATATTTTGATCCGAAATAAGGCAAGGGTTTCAAGAGGCGTGTGCTCAACCAGACCAAAACTACAATAGCCTCCTTCACAACTGTTTTAGTCGTCACGCAATACTCCTCCCAAATAGGTGGGGGTAAGCGTTGCGTGACGACCCTCGTGACGGCTGCAAAGGAGTCTAAAACAAAGCGTCCTTTATTTTTCTACTGAGAAATAATGTTCAGCTTCAGGACTAGGGACTACGATGACCCCAACTTGAGTTTCACAAATCAGGTAACAAATGCAAGTGAAATAGTATGCAGTCTCAGTTCATATGTTAATCTTGATCCCGCAAGAAAATTTCAGGCCCCGTTGACTCGCCCCAGGGAGCGGTCGAATAATGCATCTACCAATCAAGGGCCGGAACAGTTTTGTGTATTGGTTAAACAACTTGCTCTCCCAGTTTGACCTAATTCACCCTTAGGTCGTGTATTTATTCAATCCTAACTGCGCACAATGTTCTTAGTGCTCACCAAGAGGAGCGCAACCTCCCGAGAAGAACTGAAGCACAGAAGGCTTAGTGACGTTACACGCTTGAAAGACAAACCTCCTTTAAATTAGTAAACGGCCCAAGAAATTCTGTTGATGTGGGAAAGTTACCAGTCAGAAGTTTTCAGATGTTAAAACCAATTCACTGCTAAGTTTCAAATATCATTTCTCCTTACGGATTGTTACACATTACTTTCGATGTTAGTTACGAGAAATTGGTAATAAATTTAACAAATTGACGTCAGTTTTTCGTGCGTCTGTCCTGTTATTGATCATGAATTTCGTAATAACATTGTCAAAGTAGCTGTGGATCCACAAGGCGATAGCCGAGTGGCTTTGACAATGTTGTGACGAAA